CCCGCTTTTTGTAGTCACGATGAGGGAAATAGTCAGAGCTGCAATCAGTTGGGGCACGGAGGCCTATGCTTAAAAAAGGAACAACGATATCGAGCATTCGGTTTACAGACTGGCTAATTGGAGGTACTGTGCAGAGGTCTAATTATGAAGCAAGCGCCTGGCCTTCATCTGCCAAAACTCACCCTGAGGTTGCTCTAGAGAGGGGTAATCCTGAAGCTGCAGGCTTTAATCTTGGCCAAGGGAATTGCTAGGAAATTGCTAAAAAATGGCCTCGCTCGTCCCGTCCTCAAAAGTCTGAGCCAATGGGACTCGGGATACCATCGTACGTGTGCCGCCGTGAATCCAGGCAGATCGCACCCTCGAGGAGGGCCCGCCGGCTCTCTTATGCCTGGAGATCTCCATGGGTGCTCACTCTGGGTTTTGCGTCTTCTGGAGCTCCTGTGACACAGCAGTAAGTCTCGAGGAGCATCTCGCCCTCAGGGAGACGGTGCCAGACGTTTGCGTTCACGCGTCCTGGTGAGCGAGGAGCGCGACGTGCCGGGAACGTGGAACCGGTGCGGCTAATGAACGGTTTCCCTTGCATGCCCTGTTGACTGGAGAGGCTTGCCAAAGATTGGGATGAGCGTAGGTACTTCCAGACACCTTTACTGTTCTCCGTGAGTGGGAGACAAGTCTTCTGCAGAGGTGGTGGGGGAGAGAAGAGGACCTACTTGTTTGTTGTTGTTTTTCCGATGTCGCGGCGCTTCTTTGGCACGTGGTGGCGTGGCAGCTATCGATTTCAAGGGAGTAGCGGGAGACCCTCTCTCTGCTGGTCAGCATTCAGTGCCAGGAAAGTGACCATGGGGAGATGATGGGCCTGTCTGGAAGAAAAATGGGTGGAAAGGGAATTCGCTTTTAAGTAAACACCCTACGGGAAAGAGGGAGCTGTGGCTCACGCCAAGAAGCACCCGCCAGAGCCAGTGGTGGCTGGTACAGCCGGGATTTTGTGAAAGGTTGCGTTCCCTCGAGTCCCTTTTGGTTTTGCTGGTGAAAATGTCTCATTTTAGGACACCTGCCTGCCGCGTCCCGTCCCATGGTCCCATTCGTGCTTCCCACGAGAGGTCGCACCCGGACGTGTGAGCTGGAAAAGCGTCCCGTTCCTCCTTGACCGCTCTCTTTCTGTTCTCAGGTGGCAAACGCTGTGTCTGCCAAGGGGAGGTACAAGCAGATGCCGGGCTGGTTCAACTTTCTCCGTAAAAAATTCTTCTTCATGTGCAAATGACGTGTGGGCTCCGAGGTCCCTGCCAAGTGTGAGAGTTACCTCCCCGTGGCCGGATGAAATCTGCGCCCGCCGTGACTCAGTGTTGATGCTCCCGGAGGCTTTTTTCTGTCTGTCAAGATGTTTGTCTTGAGAAATGTAATCTGTGAACGCCGTCCTTGCTGTGAAATAGAGATGGAGATGGACACCGAGTTGCCGGGGCATGTGCCGGCCCCGAGCCTCCGTGCTCGCGAAGGAGAGGGCCTCTAGCGCGCCGCACCGTGGCCGCACTCAGCCTCTGAGTATTGTTTTTTGGTGATCGCAATGTTTGTGTCCTTCGCTGCCCTGGATGGCGATTGATGGAATCAAGGTCTGGCGCTTAAGTGGAACAGAATGATTTTTGCAATCGATATTTCTCCTTTTCAATAAAGCACGATGAAAAAGGAAAAAAAACCCTTTTGCGCTGTAGTCCCTCATCTGTTCTGTCTCGTGAATGCCATTTCAGCACCTCCCAAAGGCCTCTCTGGAACGGGAAGAGTGAGAAAAACCTTGCTTGAGTAGGTTTTTTAGCCTCCTACTGTTACTGGTAGCGTAACGCAGCCGTGCCAGCGTACGGAGACAGCAGTTCGCGTCCTTTCGAGGAGTTGATCGGACGCTAAGTGGGAGTTACGGCAGGAAACCCATGAGGATTCCTTCCCATATCAGAGTTAAAGCACTCGCCCCAATGAGCTGCTCGCGGTGACGGTTTTGGGTCAGAAATGCTGGATCTATGTGGGATTTTGGGAGGAAAGCATCCTTGGAGAACGAGGAGCTGCCCTCGGGAGGTGCAGCTGCCTTAGGGTAGGTGGGGAAGGGAAGCATGGGCGAGCTGCGGCGCGGAGCCGGGACAGGAGGCCTGCCTCAGCCCATCTTCATCGCACAGAACGTTTTACGCTCTTGGGGAAACCACGTGAGGGTTTTGGCACCGCAAGGGCAAATCGCGCTGCACCCCTTCACTGCTGGGGTGGTGGGGTGTGAGGAATGCTCATGGGTGGGATGATTGGGGGGTTCCCAGCACACCTGGGGATCTGTCTTTGCAGTCTCTAGGTATTTCCGCACTCCTTTTTTTGGGAGCATTTCAGGTGCTGTGAGGCAGTTCAGCGCTGCTGGCAGAGTGATTCTCGGCCCGGGGTTCGGATTTAACTATTTTTTGGAGGGTGCTGGGGCTTGAGCAATGGCAAAAAGAGCTGAAAACTTGAAAGAAGTAACTAAAAGTAGACTGAGAGAGGGGGTGGGGGGCTCATTTCCCTTGAGGGTGTTAACTCTCCCCTTTGGTTGCTTCCAGTCCCTTTGGCTCGGAACAGCGTCCCGCAGGCGTGTGCGCCTGGCCATCCCCTGTGTGCACCCGAAGCATCTGCCTTGGAAAGAAAAGCCCCTCGGTTACCTGATGAGCACAAGGTCCCTCTAAATCAGGCTTTGTCCCCCGTTGGGGATGCCCCCGAATTGTGCTCCCTGCTTGGCGAAAGGACCCGTTGGGGCTGCCATGAGGGGCAGGGGCTCAGTGGAACTGAGCCAGATGGGGGGGACCTCACTGGGAGACCCTAAAGCTGTGCAGATTTGAGGCAGGATGTGCTTTGCCCTGGGAATTGGGAACAGGGGAGGAGCAGGACTTTCCCCAGCCAGCATAGAGGTCTGGGATGTGTGGCCTCTGCCTCCATGGGAGCTCGGGGAGACCAGTCAGTGGGGAGCGGGACATCCCTGGGGAGGAGGGCAGGGAGGGAACTGCCTGGCCCCAGGTGGGGGGAATCGGGAAGGGGGCTCAGGTTGAGCCAATTAGGGTGGTGCAGGGGCCTAAAAAGGCAGGGCCAGGGCCAGTGTGAGCTGGGTGGGAGCCAGGGAGGATCAGGTCTTCACATGGGGTTTGGAGCTGCCTGAGATGCTGATGCTGCTGGAGCCGGAGCGGTGCATCCTTCGTGGTGAAGCTGGATGGCTCGGCTGGGAGGCACCGCTGCCCACTGCCTGCGTGGCTGGGATAAGTGAAGCTCTGTTTCTAGGTACTGCTCGATCGCAGCATCCTGATGGAGATCTGACCCACTACAAGATCCTGTGATGGAAGGAGCAGAAAACTGGGGAGAAACAATGTGAATCATATGTTTTATTTAAAACAAAAAAAGCAAGGTACATGGAAACTGACTTTAAGGTGACACAGCAGTGACGCAGCAAAGGGGAACTGAGAAATGTGGAACCAAACCAGATCCTAGGTGCTGTTGGTCTCTGTCCTCTCCTTGTCCCCAGAGCCGGCGCTCAGCCAGCGGAGGAGCATTCCTGAGGGCCTGCAGCCCCAGCCACTACAGGTGAGCATGGGATTTGATCTGTATTTTGTCCCCATCCCTGTCCCCGCTGTGTGGCACTGAGCTCTCTGTCCCTCAGCAGGGGGCCAGCCCCAGCCATGGCAGATGCAGGGAGCAGCCCGGGGTTGGGGCCAGCACGGGACCGGTGCCACCTTTTCTGGGAGACTCAGCACAGGGCAGCTGTGGGTCCCTACTGGCGGGGGCCCACCTTGGGTGCCCGTGCCCAGCGTGGCAGGGTGTGGGCTCCTGGGCACTGCCATGGCCACGGCATTGCCTGGGATGCCGCTGATGCCCACCGTACCTGGGAAAGCCTGCAGGTGTGTGTGGGGTGTGTGGCTCTTGAGAGTGTGTGTGCTGGTTTTGGGGGGCTTTTGCTTTGCCTTTTGTTGTTATTTTAGCTTGTTGTGTTTACGGTTTGGAGCTGCAGCCATTTATTTTGGTTTTTTCCCTTTGTTTTTGGCTTTCCTGGGGGCGGCCACTTCTGCTGGAGGGCGCCCAGGTGGCCCCGAGCCCCCTGGGACCAGGGGGTGCTGGCCCTGTGCCAGAGCTGGCCTCGGGCTGGGCCCTGCAGCTGGGGGTCTGGGGTGGAGAGGGGGGGGTGTCCAGCAAGAGCCAGCCTGTGGCTGTGGCTGCGATGGCCCTGGCCATGATGAGGGGTTCAGAGAGAGCTCAGTGCCGCCATGGTCCTCGTCCCTGTCCCCCAGGGTGTGGGGTGCTGTTGCTTGCTGTCCTCGCCCCATGTGCACAGAACACCTGGGGGTACAGGCAATCCTGGGGCTGATCCTATGTTCCCTGAGCCAATTTTCCCATGGGAAAGGTGATCCTGTACTTTTCTCCCTTGGTTTTTTTCCTAGTTTTTCCATTATGGGAGCAGTGGGATTGGAGCATCCTACAGGCATCCCAGCTGGGGTGGCGGTACAGTGGGCTGGTGGGTGCTTTTGGGCAGAGCTGGCTCACAGTCTTTTTCCTTACATTCTTTCCATGACCCAGAGCGCGGTGGCCGGTCCTTTGCCTGGCATCCTCAGAGGAGGTGAGAGCTGGTGCCCAGTGGCAGAGCGGCACTGGGAGCACTCTGGCAGCACAGGTACATGGGTGTGTGTTGGGGCCAGAGAGCGGTGGGGGCTCTGGGAAGGATGAGGGGTGCTCTTTTGGGGTTACCCTGTGGGCCCTACTGCTCACCTCGCTGCTCCCCATCTTGCAGGGACATTCTGGGACAGAATCGCGGTGAGAGCGACCGGTGGTGGAGCCTGGCTGAATGAAGAATCAGCGGTGGACAAGAGCTGAAACGTCCAGACTACTAATCACCTTACTCAGGTGAGCAGCCAGGGACGATGGGGGCTACTATGTCTGCAGAGGAGTGCTCGGTGGTGACAGTATTCAAGTAGATTTTGGAAAAACAGGGCATAAAATATGACGAAATGCAGCTGCGCATGTTATTAGCTTGGTTAAAGGGCCACAGTGTAGCTCTGGATTTGACTGAGGTATTTGAAATAAGTACCTGGGACAAGGCTGGGCAAGTCTTATGGGACGCTGCTACAAAAGGTGATTCAAGCGCCACAGGGCTGTTAGCTTCGTGGTGGCTGGTTACAGATTCCCTAAAGCAACTGAAGGTGGATCGTACCGTCTCAGCTGCCGCTGCAGCTGTGACTTCAGGAACCAAAGAGAATAAAAGGGAAGCAGAGGAAACAGTGAAACCTAATGCTACGCCTACCGTGTCTTCTTCTCCCGATTTTTCCACCACCACCTCCTTGTGTTCCACCTATGGTAGACACCCCTGATAGCGGAGAAGAAAAGGGGGAGAATATGACCCCAGGCGGCACTGGGGCGAGCTCCGCTGGCAAGCGGAGCTGGACGGCGACCATGCTCTAGCAAAATGAATAGCCTGCCCGGTGGTGAGAGATGCACAGGGAAGATCTGAGTGGCAGGGCTTGCCATTTAGCCTGGTGAAAGAGTTGCGTAAAAATGTTATTGATTATGGCCTTGGGTCTCCCCATGTTCAAAGCTTGGTGCAGAATGTATTTTTTAGTTATGAATTAGCGCCCTTTGATATCAAACAAATTTCTTCCCTTATATTTATGCTGACACAGAAGGTCTTACTTGAGTCGCATTGGTGTACTGCATGTGAAATTGCCACCATAGATAATTTGGACCGTCCGGATGGCGACCCCTTGAGGGGCGCCGGAATACTGCAGCTGATGGGAGAACCTCCCGTACAGACTCCACAATTACAAGCTAGATTGAATCCCTCAATTTTACAACAATCGCGGCAATTGGCATATCAATCGATCCTGAAAACTGCTGACTTGGCCAGGACCACGCAAGCCTTTGTCTCAATAAGACAGGGGGTCAATGTAGCATTTATGTCTTTTATTGATAAATTAAAAGAGGCGATAGAGAAACAGGTAGAGAATAAGGCTTCTCTGGTGGCCTCATTACAGACATTGCAAAATCTGGTTGAAATGATGGAGGCTTGTCAGAAGGGGGGGTCTCTTGAACATCAGGTGCAGGCAATGGCTGTTGCTTTCGAAGTGGTGCGCGTGAGTAACAGAGCCTGGTTTAGATGTGGGGAAACGGGCTACTTTAAGCGCAAATGTCCAAAGGCGAAATCGCAGCCTTCCGTGGGGCCAGGCCCGTGTCCGAAATGTGGGAAAGGACGACACTACGCTAATCGGTGTCGATCGAAGTGGGATAGGAACTGGAAGCCGGTTTCAGGAAACTTCCAGAACAGCGCAAAACGGGTATGTGCTCAGACACAAGTATCCTGACAACGGATGACAGCCCCCGTGGCCTCCGGGGATGGACCGCAGGAAGTGCCAGAATGGATCTGGCCACCAGCTCTGAAGTAACTGTAGAGGACCAGACAGTGCACAAGGTCCCTCTCAGTGTGAAGGGGCCGTTGGGACATGGACTGAGCACTTTGCTATTGGGGCGCTCTAGCATCACGTTAATGGGACTTTTTGTACTCCCTGGTGTTATTGACGCCAACTATGAAGGCCAGGTACATGCCACGGTATGGACTTCTCCTCCTCCAGTTGTAATCCCTGAGGGAAGCAGAATTGCACAACTAGTGCCTTTCAAAAGCCAGGTCCTGTGTACAGAGCCGATGA